GTTGTTATTGTCATTGGTATTTGTTTTTTAAAGTAACTTCTGAAGGAAAATGGGGTGTAAAAAAGCCTGGTGAGCTGGTTCACATAATAAATGCCATTAGAAAAGCTGTTTTACATTCTCAGTAATGAGCACAGTTGTAAGGGAGAAAAATATGAGTTTTATCTTAAGGTTTGCAACTGTTTCATAGTTTTATTTGTAGATATTCATTCTTTACAGGAAAATTCTTAAGGTTAGGCAATTCTGCTCTGATAGAGAAGAACAGTATATACTTATCTGAAACAGGCACACCAAAACAATGCATACTTTTGACAGAAACGTCTACATTTTTATTTTTAAGGTAAGGAACGTGCCTTAGACATGTATAGTAAGACAGACTAGTGCATCTGGTAGGGTCCCTCTGGGGGCCTTTATTTTGCCTTTCTCCTGAAACCCTGGGGTTATTTTTAAGAGAATTTAAGTGATCAAATCTACTGGAAACTTCCATTCTTGGTGTGTTTGTAAAAAATCTCTTAATGTCCTGCGTTGCTGTTATTCAATAGATCATTCAACACCAGCCAGCCAGTCTCCTCATTCCTCCAACCCAAGCAGCCTGCCAAGCTCCCCTCCAACACACAACCACAATTCTGTCCCATTCTCCAATTTTGGACCCATTGGGACTCCAGATAACAGGGATAGGAGAACTGCAGACCGCTGGAAAACTGATAAGCCAGGTGAGATCCAATCTTCATTGCTTAGTAGAAGTGAACTAACTTACTCTGTGTCCTTCCTGGACCTTTGGCAGTGATAGAACATCTTCTTGAATTATTCTTTTCTCTTCATTCCTAGCCATGGGTGGGTTTGGCATTGATTATCTCTCAGCAACATCGTCCTCTGAGAGCAGTTGGCATCAGGCCAGCACTCCAAGTGGCTCCTGGACAGGCCATGGCCCATCCATGGAGGATTCTTCTGCTGTCCTCATGGAAAGCCTAAAGGTGAGTGGATCAGGAACAAGAACCATAAGAGATGTCTCTGCTTTCATTCAGATAAATAGCTAGTCTTATTCTTAAGGCCCTTAGGATTGTTTGATTCATACTATGTATCTGGCAAAGTCTTAGAAGCATGGTCTGCATTATAAGATTCTTTAAAAGGATTTTTTTTTTTAATTCACTAGTGATAAACCAGTATCCTCAGGGGGACAGACATGAAGCTTTTAGTTGGATTCTAAGATTAAGAAAATTCTGACTCATCTTGAAATATTTTCTTTACTCCTTTTTTGAATAAGTAAAAGAAGGATATCTAATTTCATAAATGTTTTGTTTGCCTAAAACAGTGTCCTCACATGGAGCTGAGTTTTAGTAAAAAGACTTTATAGAAAACTTACTTTCACCTTTTCTGGTTTAAAGTGATCTTAATGAGAACTAAATAGCCAGTCTTGAAGGACCTGGTCTTAGAGCAACTCCTTGTAATAGCTGGATCTTTTCAGGGTTTGGGGACCTTGGGACGTACATGCCTTTATGTTTGGCTGGGATTGAAAATCAGATCCCTTTCAGACAGCCAGGCATCTGACCTCTGCTGACAAGCTCTGGGCTGTTTTTCAGTCTATCTGGTCCAGTTCCATGATGCATCCTGGACCTTCCGCTTTGGAGCAGCTGTTAATGCAGCAGAAGCAGAAACAGCAGCGGGGACAAGGCACCATGAACCCTCCACACTGAGGCCAGAGTGACAACCCTGGGAATGAAGGCTCCATAAACCATGGCATGTTGGGTTTGCAGGACTGACCCACACAGTCCCCTGCAGGTGGCAGCCCTCTTTTCTGTGTCTCACTGTTGAGAGGGTGTAAGTATTCCACCAGCCCGCTGAGTGTGCACGAAATGTCCGCAGTGCAACAAAAAGAAAAAAACCATCAGGAACTCTCCGTCCCCCCGGGGCCTTCCGGAGGGAGAGAGGAACTGCTGTTTGTCTCACTCAGCTACCTGGTATCACCGCCTCTCACCTTCTCCATCGTGCATGTCCCCAGCCACGTGGGAAGTGAAAGCTGAGAAGGGAAGGCAGATGGGAGAAGCCAATGGGAACTTCTCAGTCCTTTTTTTTTCCTCTTTGGGGAATAAAATAGGAATCCATTAATGATTGCTTTGCTGACTGAGAATGTAGTTGAAATTACTCCTGAACATCTTTTATTATTGTTATTACTCTCAGTAGTAAGATATCACACTGAATTCTTCCATACACAGATGTGCTTCTTCTAGTCAGTGTGTAGCAAGGAAAAACCCCGTACACCGCTCCTGTGAGAGGTCGGTGGTGACAGGATGGGGAACCCGGCCTCTTCAGCCCGTGGAAACGGCCCATAAGGGAGAGGACGCGGCCTCCACTTCGACTCACAAGGTTCTGGTGGGCCCTCCTCTGGCCTGGAGACTCCAGCTGGAAATGCCCTTCACTCTGTAGGTGCTCGAGCCCCAGTTGAGGATGCCGCACGGCTGGTGGTGCTGGGCTGGACTAGCCACGGACTGCCGTCGGGCTCTAAAGGAACGCTTGTGGCTGCTGTCCCTTTTACGGTAGTGTCGCAGGGGTCCCACAGCAGGCAGGCAGTCCATTCATGGCCTGACAGAGTTTACTGGGTAGAAGCTTTCAGTGTGGTTACTTTTTGTTTGGTTGGTTTTTGTGCACCCATCCTACTTAACCACCCACCTCCTCCTGTCCCTACCTCCACCCCCTTTCCACCCTGTGCTGTGTGCTGTAATCGTTTTTATTCCTAACGTGTACAACATCACGCCAAGAAGCAACAGCATTGGGGCCAGCAGTTGGGGCCCAAAGGACTGTCTGAAGAGGAAGGAAGTGGCAGCGTGAGCACGGCCCGCCGAGCAGCCAGGCCCTTGCCCAGCTGTGGTCTCCCAGCCTCCACTTCCAGAGTGAAATTCAAGGCGACACGGACACGTGTGCATCAGGCACAGAAGGAAAACACAACGGAGTCCATTCTGGAAAAGGCGGAAGAAAGGAAAAGAAACTTTTTATCTGATATTTATTAGAAGGAAAGAGGACTGAAGATTTTTCTTGTGTAGAAACAGAAGGACAGCATTTCTGATAGTCATTTCCTGGAAAAGTAATATTTTAAGGGGAAATTATGGAAACAATCTAAATGTCCAATTGCTGTGCTAGTGGTAGGGTTTGTTTTCTGGGAGGGCTCTCCTTCGCGCGCGTGTGTGTGTGTGAGTGTTTGTGTGTGTGCACACTGGCCCGTCTGCTCCCTGTAGGGGAAGGGTGGTGCGTGTGAGTGTGTGGAGCTAGCGTGGGACTCAAGAGCTGGAAAACAGCTACAGAGCGAAGCACATCCAGGAGCCCCGGTCGTCACTGGAGTCTGGGCAGCCCCAGCAATGAAAAGGGGTGAGAGATTCATGCTCATTGCTCTTCCGAGAGAGTGGTTGGAGTCCCGAATGCTTACATTATTGCTGTTTTAGTTTGACATGGTGTTTGGGGTTTTTTGTTTTTGTTGTTTCTTTTTTTTTGAAAGGTCTGAAAGGGTTAAGTCCCCCACCCAATGGCAATATGAAACCCTTTGTGCTTCTCTCCAGCCCCTCCTCCGTGACCACCGTCCTCCCGTCCCCTCCCTCCCGAGCCTCCATCCCTGCTGCCTTTACCCACTTTGTGTGTTTGAGCTCTGCATTCAGGCAGCTGCAACATTCCAGTGTTTGAACTGTCACCGACTCTTGCACCCTCGACACGCCCACCAGGGTCACCGTCTCTCGCTCCCGCAGTGCCCATGTCCTGTCTGCAGCCCCATTTCTGCATGAGAATTTGGTGTTTGGAATGTTTTTTGACTCTTGGGGCGGGGTTCCTCGCCTTATCATCCTCAGTGTGGAGTAATGAGGAGGGAAAGGAGAATCTTCATCAGAAACTGGTTCTGTGTAGCAAACTTTCTTTTGTGTTTCTTTTTGTTTTTGTTTATTTGTTTTGGTCTGTCTGTGCAAGACCTGCAGCTGCTGAAATCAGCTTTGCCTTTAATTAAACCATGTTCTCTCCAACCAGATCTGTGTAGAGATTGTTTCTTTCCTATCCTAAAAGAAAATCCAACTTAACAAATTTAAACTACTCACAAGCCATCTAGGGGAACTAAAGAAGGTCAAAAATCAAATATGCTTCAGGGTTATTTTTGCTTTTAGTAATATTTCAAACTGATGTGCAGGATTACAAAAAGGGATGGGTTCTAATAAAGAATGGCTTATGCAAAGGAGTTAACAACTCAGCATTTTTATCCTTACTGTTACCCTTAATAAGGCAGTTCAGAGACCGTGTATCCTATTGGCCCAGTAAACTCAACTCATTGTGATGAGCAGCAACAGTATTTGGTGTGCTTTGCTGAGGAGTTGTATTTCCTCAAGTTGTGTTCCCCGATTTCCAGCAGTATCCTGCCAGCCTTCGCTGTGTGAGGGAGCCAACACCGCACCTCACCTGTGTGTGTGCGCACACACCCACCAGCTGCGTTTTCACATTGATGTTGATTCAGTCTACAGTTTGTCTCTTAAGTGTACTTTTCATGAGCACCTACACAATTGAAAAATTGTTAGTAGAATATTCCACAGGAGGAAGGGGAATTAAGGCCAGGCCTTTTGAATTTATGGAAACTCACCCAAGTTAATCCTGAAAAACAAACATTACCTAGTAGGATAGTATTAACCAACTGGCTTCCTGAGCGTGGCTGCTTTTCATCTCAAGTATTAGTGGCATATACTCACTGTTGAACTCTTTAACAGATGTCCTCTATGAGAAGAAATCAAGGGATGTAGTTCCAGTATTTTAATTTTCTGTGAAATTAAAAGCTATATTCCAGGGGAACATAACTCAGTCTAGGTTCTGTTTAAACAGCCAGACTTTTAATCCCCAAAATGTTAGCTTCGTGTGTGTAGGCGTGCATGCGCACATCTTCTGAATTACCTATTAAGTTACCTCGGTCCCTGGGAGTTTGTGATAGTAACGATGTAGGAGTGGGGATTTTTATACTTAGGTCTTGGGCCTGCACTCTGGGTATCTTGTTTTTGTAAGTTTTTTATTGAGGCATCACATATGTAGAGAGAAGTGTACCAACAGTAAGTATACAACTCGGTGAATTTTCACAAACCAAACACATCTGGGTAGCCAGCACTCCAAGCAAGAAACAGATTATCTGCACCCTAGAAGACCCCCCTCTTCTAGACATTTCCGACCACCACCCCTCCCTGTCTTGACGGTAATCATTGTAAGTTCTTACATCATCGTCTAATAGGTTAAGTTTTAACAGAAGAGTAGATGAATTAATGCTTCCAGAGGGGTGTCTCGAATGTGTGGCAGAGGCGTGTCAAATCTTGTAAATGATAGTACTTCCTTTTCTTCAACGTTGTAGGTTGTAAAACATCCTAGACTCCTCAGGGCATGCTTTCCAAGTCTGTAGTTGCATGTTGTTCAACAAAAGCTTTGGGGAAAATGCCAACCTTCCCTTTGCACTCCCCTTCCAGCCATTCTTCATTCACTGATAAAAGGAAAAATATACATTGACTTCGAGTATAGGAGAATTCCCTCACCCGAGTAGTCCACTTAGAACTTTTGTTGGTCCTCCTTCACCCCCAGTTGTGCTGACAGGGAAAAGTCAGTGTTGGGAAAGGGACTGGTAGGAGTGAACATAGGAGCTATCTCTATTGGTTTCTGTAGAGAAGTAAAATGCAGAAAAAGTAGAGCCTTCAAAAAATTACCAAAGAAATTGAACAGTGAATCCTTATGTATGAGGTGGTTTTTTTAACAGAGTTTTAGCTTTGTTGGGAACCTCTGTTTTGATTAACAGGACAGGGATATGCCATTGGTTAAATAGATTAACAATGACTCTTCACTGGTGAATGGTCAAAGAATTGCGAGTTGGAGCAATGATGGTTTCAGTCCATGTTTGTAAAATACAAGAATTTTCATAGCCCCTCTTTTGAGACTTTAATAAAGTATGTGCATAGACTTCATAACTCAGTTATAGATAATCAAAAGTGTATCAAAGTGAAGTCACTCAGTCGTGTCCAACTCTTTGTGACCCCATGGACTGTAGCCCACCAGGCTCCTCCCTCCATGGGATTCTCCAGGCAAGAATACTGGAGTGGGTTGCCATTTCCTTCTCCAGGGGATCTTCCCAACTCAGGGATCAAAGCCAGGTCTCCTGCACTGCAGGCAGACGCTTTAACCTCTGAACCACCAATATCCCCATTTTAAATTTTCTTTGGAGTTGAAAGCTACATTCCAGGGGAACGTAACTCAGTCTAGGTTCTGAGAAGACACAAGAGATTAATAGCTTGTTTGGGGTCATTCTGCCAATAAATATCAGACACCTTAGGTAGCTATGACCTATTCTAGAGCCCATCCAACAACTGTAGAAGCTGTTCAGATCAGAGGCTCATCTTTGGATGTAACATGTCTCCATCAGACATTACAGCAGCACCATGTGGTACTTGGATCCTGTCCCCAGAAACTGTCCATTAGTGTGGAGTGTGGCTGAGCATCCGAGTTCACCCAAGGTAATTCTAATTCCAAACTGTTGTCTTGATTCTTCTTCTATGATACGAGTATCAGCATTTGTTGTGCTGGATCCTGGGAGCTTGTTAGAAATGCCAAATCTCAGGTCCCACCCCAAACCTGATTCAGAATCCATTTTAACAAGTTCCCCAGATGGTTGACATTTAAAATTTGAGAAACTTTTGGAATGAAACTATCTCATAATTGTTGAATACAACTTAACTCAACCTCTCAGCCCTACACAATGTTTATGTTGAATTCTATTTCCCTGTGTGTTATAAAAGTTTCAAAATCTTACATAGATACTTCCTGAATTAAATCAACTTAGACTTCTATACAAATCCCAGTGAAGAGTATACCACCTTCTCTCCATATCTACCCAGAAGACACTTCAGAGCATTTGTTCATCTTTATCTCATCCCCACCCCTGAAAAAAAAATTAAGCCAGTTGCTTGGTATTGACACTTTAAAAATGGTGTGGGGAGTTAAATCCAACTCTTAAAACTGAGTTTCCATTCTCCCTTTTAGAATGTACACATTGACCATACACCCTGTTTTATTTTCATTTCTTATATTGTTGCTACAGTCGTATACTCACTCTTCACCCCCATTAACTTCAAAATCTCTCCCTCTCATTTCTTAATTTTCTGTTATAATTGATAATGGTGTTCTGTTTTCACTGTTTTGCATTGCTAATGTACAAGATTTCAGCCATGTGAGTGAAACTTTTGCTCTGACTCTTGTTACCAGGTAAAGAAATAAAAAGAGTGTCAAACCATGAGTTATTAATAGAATGCTGCTTCTCAGTATGGTCAGTAGACCAGCATCACCTGGAATCTTGTTAAAAATGCAAATTAGTGGGCCCCACCCCAGACCTGAATCAGAATCTTTGGAGCTGGGTCAGAGGAATTTAACAAATTACAAAAGATGCATGAGCATACTTCAGTTTGAGAAGCAGTAAGTTAGAACCCTCCACTTACTTTAATTTTTACTGTGTTTGATTTCTAACAACCTGGGAAGTCACCAGAGAGAGCAATTCTGAATCGTTGTTTTTTTAAGGCAAAATGTATGCTCTTTTTCCTTCATCTTCAAAAAGTACATCAATTTAAAGACCTATAGTTTGCAAAACATCAGTATGACATGACTTGGTGCATGTCAAACACAAAGTGGTTGAAGCCCCCTTCCAATTCATTAACTCCAGGGTGAGAACCCATGGCTTCCAAAACAGTCTCATGTGTGACCGAAGTCCGCCGTTGGTTGCTTCCCTGCCCAGGAGAGCAGCAGATGGAGAGGTGAACACTCAGTTTTGCTCCCTCCCACTAAGAACTGGGGAGGAAATTGAAACCATTGGCTAAAGTTTGTAGCTGACTGATGTTTTTTTCTCTCTGTCCTTGTGTTTATTGCTGCTAACATGTACATTAGTTTCTATACTCTGGGAGTAGCACTTACCCGTTGATATCACCAGGATTACGTCCCCTTCCAGGAACTCCAGGTCTTCTGGCTGGGTAGCCTCGTAACTGAAGAGAGCTACCACTTTGCTCCCTTCCTTAAGCTCAGGTTCTGTTGTCTGGTTATTAGCATCAGGTTTTTTGCTTTCTTCAGGTTCTTCTGGAAAGCCCTGGTCACCCTGAAATAGTAAAGGTACCATTAGTTTTCCTAACTTCCTGCCATGAACATTGAACATCACTGAAGGAATCAATCAGCAAAATGTCAATGTAGCACCTGGGATATAAACTCAAAGCCAAGTTTGTGATCAGTGCCTAGCATAGACCTGGTGTGTACTTTATGAACACTGTATGGTTGGGTAAGTGAAACCAAAAGGTCTACAGGACTGTAGATCCTCTTAAATGCTAGTGAAACCTTATGTTAATCCTGAAAAAGGTAGAATAGGTACAATTGTTAATTTTTCTCTGATGGAGAAATAGGTTGAATCACAGGTAAGTGACAGAACCCAAAGTCAAACCTAACTCCCAAATCCAACACCCTTTCCCCAGCACCCATAACACTGGGCACCTTGTTATAGAAAGGCAAATTTGTCTGCACCATCCCAAATCTGTTAGTCAGGAACTCTCTGTGGGAGTTAACAGTCATTAACAAAAACAAAAAAAAAATAATTTAAAACATCAAAATCAACCTTTGCAGTGAAGTAATGCTGAAGCTGAAGCTCCAATACTTGGGCCACCTGATACGAAGAGCTGACTCATTGGGAAAGACCCTGATACTGGGAAGGATTGAGGGAAACAGGAGAAGGGAGCAGCAGAGGATGAGATAGTTAGATAGCATCACCAGTTCGATGGACGTGAATCTGAGCAAACTCCAGGAGATGGGGAAGGACAGGGAAGCCTGGCATGCTGCAGTCCATGGGGTTGCACAGTCAGACATGACTGAACAACAAATTCATATTTAGAGCTGAACTAATAGGAATCCTTTCAAGACAGAACTGAAGGGGTTAGTCCAAAAACAGATCCTTGGAAAACCTAGAGTGACCTTTCGACCTTTCAAGGGACAACTTGCATGGACACTCCTCACTCCTAGGGTCCTGGGGCTTTCAGCCAGAGGCACCCGAAGTCTCCGCTCCAGTGGCTCCACTTCCTGAGACAATTTTCTGAACCCTGACCACTAGGTTTACTTTGTGGGGTTTACTACAGGGCCTGCCTCCAGATCCATCCTCTTTAGTTCTTCCCCTCCCATTTCCACTCCGCCCCAGCCCCAATCAAACGTTTGTCTTTGGTTTGAGTGCAAAGGAGAAACTGAGCAGTAACCCGTACCCAGCTGTGGGGATGAGGGTTTGGAGGAAGGACTCGCTGGTCCCACAGCCTACATGTCTGGAATAGCTTTCCTGCTGTGGGCATTTGTATGGTCTCAAAAGTCCATTTGTGGCTGAAAACTAGTAGTTGACCAAGGATTCCCTTAGGAGCTATTTAGTTTTATACCCCCTAGGCAGATAAAACTGCAGATGCCACAGCTGACAAAGGCTAAAGCAGGAAACAGGTGAGAAGAGGAAGAACTGAAGTGTCAGTGGGACCCCACTTGGCAGCTTTGGGCAGTGGGAACTGCAGATTCATGGTCTCTGTGTCAGGACTCCCCAGCCTCGCGATTGTGGGTCGGGAGCTGCTTACTCAGGAGGCCCACCAGCCAGCCTAGCTGATTTCCCTGCCTTGCTCATGTGCCCCTTAAATTACCAGTACAGAGCAAGACCTCACTATCTTGCCTGCTCACAGTATCAACCCAGCACAGTGGTGTCCAAGGCTACCCCCATCTGGCCCTGTGGTCTTTCCAACATCTTTCCCACCACTGTCCCTGTCCAACAGCACTGAGCCCCCTTTCCCACTGGGCTGATTCTTGTGGTCGTCCCTCTGGTTCTTTCCATCTATATAATTCATTCACCCTAACCTCCTCCACCTTGCTAATTACTATGCACCATTTTCAGGCTAAGCTTCAAGACAATTTCAGCATCATTTTCTCTAGGAAGACTTGTCCCACTTCCCTCCAGCGTTTTTGGGTGAGAAACCCTCCCGATGTTACATAAATACATACATAACAGTAAAGCATTTGTGCGTTTCCATCAGTTTACTGCACACACGCTTTGTAGTCATCTGCTTGCTCTTCCCCTGTGTCTTACTAGTTTTTATGTCTCCAGTACCTATCTAGAGAGCAGTAAGTGCCCAGCAAATGTTTGTTGAAGAATTAATGTCACTAGACAAACGCTGGAAACAACCCAAATGTACACCAACAGCTGAATGAATAAGCCAGTTGTGGTATCCATACAATGGCATACCATTTAGCATTCAAAAGAAATGGACTATTAAGACACAAAATATATATACTGTACAATCCACTTATTTGAAATGACATAAAAGACAAAAAACTTTGTTGACAGAAAGCAGATGGATGATTTTCAAGGACCATTGTTGGGAAAGAAAATTAACATCCACAGCAAAAAGAAATGGCAACCTTTCCTTGGGAGACTAAGGGACAAAGCTAAAGAGTACTAACATGTAGCTGCTACTTCTAGCCTCAGACTTTGCTCCTGACTCCCTTCATTCTCACTGGAAAGTCAGTTAACTCTTCTAGACCCCAGGGCCTATAGATAACCTGCCCTTTTACTGTCAGTACATCGACGTGTTCAAGAGCAGCAGTCCCCAGCCTTTTTTGGCACCAGGAACCGGTTTCATGGATGACACTTTTAACACAGACCTGGGGTTGGGATGCTTTCAGGATGATCATTGTAAGGAGTGCACAATCTAGTTCCTTCACATGCATGGTTTAACAGTAGGGTTTGAGCTCCTATGAGAATCTAATGCCACTGCTTATCTGATAGGAGGTAGCGCTCAGGTGGGCTTCCCTGATTGCTCAGTTAGTAAAGAATCTGCCTGTAATGCAGGAGACCGCGATTCGATTCCTGGGTCTGGAAGATCCACTGGAGAAGGGATAGGCTACCTACTCTAATATTCTTGGGCTTCCCTTGGTGGCTCAGCTGGTAAAGAATCTGCCCCCAACGTGGGAGACCTGGGTTCAATCCCTGAGTTGGGAAGATCCTCTGGAGAAGATCCCACTCCAGTATTCTGGCCTGGAGAATTCCATGGACTATAGAGTCCATGGGGTCACAAAGAGTTACATGACTGAGCGACTTTCACTCACTTTCAGAGCTCAGGTAGTCATGCAAGTGATGGGGAACACCTATAAACATAGATGAAGCTTCCCCTGCTAAGGAGCCGCTCGCCTCCTGCCGTGCAGCCTGACTCCTAACGGGATGGGATCCCTGTTCAAGAGTACAGGCAGGCTCTGAGTAATGTTGGCCAGGGGGGCCTCACTTTGCCTTGTCACCTACGTTATAAAACAGGATAACAATACGTTCCTCACAGAGTTATGGGGGTTTTAAGAATTCATACACAGAGTGCGCTTAGCACAGTGTCTGGCACAAAGGATCTTCTCAGTAGATGTATGCTGTTAGTAGAAGGTTGTTATGCAAGTCATCTTCATGAAATAAATGCTCGCTAATTTTTTTTTCACTCCCAAATGTCCTTCCCCATGGAAACTTAAGGTGAAGAATGGCTGTGAACTCGGCCTCAAGCTGCGACTTCATTCTAACCTTGCTTGATCGAGCCTAAACCTTAGGTGTGGCAGCAGATGGAAGGGCCCTGAAGCTTTCTGTGGGCTCCTGGGTCTGCTCTGCTCTTGTGGGAAAACCTCTCCCAGCTGCACCCCGGGTGAGGATGCCAGAGCTGCAGCTTGTTACCTGCCATGTCCCCAACACTGCACCTAGGCTAGGCACCCAGCCGGCACTGGGTGAATGCTCAGTTGTGGTGGAGGAAGTGACCGGTTAGAAATCCAGCCTTCCATGCTCCTGGGCACTCACCACGGTGTTCTCACACCACAGCGTCAGGCAGTAGTTTTTCACTTGGTCCCAGGCATCCTTCATGCTGAATTCTGAAAGGGGCGCCAGCTCATTGCTGTCCCGAGGACGGTAGCTGGGTAGAGGTAATGAGGGAGAAGCAAGTCAGACAGCAGCAGTGCAGGCCCATCCTCTGGCCAGCAGCGGGCGCCCAGCTGTACCCTCACGTCTCCCTGTGTGCTGCTCACCTCAGCTTCATGTGTTCCGGCAGGAGATCCAGCTTCTTAGCCACCATGTCCCGGACCTGGCTGTAGGGGAGCCTGAACTGAGTCTCCATGACCACCGTGTACTTGTAATGCACCTTGAGTGTGTAGGACGCGGGGACACTGAGCTTGACTTCCTGCCCGGAGAGCCAGCAAAGGGAATCTGTGAGTGCCTGAGGCGTCCTCCGAGCAACATGCTGGATCCCAGGGAGTAAGGACCCCATGGCGGGGAAAGGCCCAGAAGTGCCTGGTTTCACACTAACATGAGAGGGCCTTCAGAGCCCTGTCCTCCAGCTCAACTCACACTTGAATAAAAATTCCTATGGGTGGTACCTGGCCCACCAGCCATGGGCCAGCAGGCAGTGTGTGCATGGAAGAGGGAGAGATTGTCAAATGGGAGGGGGGGTGTCCCTGGTCCCTGTATGTATGGTAACAAGTGGTATACCCTTCCTTTGGGGCTCTTTCTACAATCCAAGGAGACCACCCGTAGAAATGGTTAGGTGGGCAACCTAAGCTCTTCCTCTCTCTACCCCTTGAAATAGTACAGGGAAAAAAAAATTACCTTGGGCTCTTCTTTTCCTTTCTGACCTAAATGGAGAAGGTGAGAGTTAAACAAAGGAAGATATTGAATGAACACTCTTGGCTAGCCCCTGCCATGCACAAGATGAAACCACTTAGAACCAGGCACCCAACTTCATATGCTTTAACCTGTGGGGTGATCATTAACCTTAATAAACTGTGGGGGAAAATCATTGGGTAGATGTGAAGGGCAAAGCCATGAACACACAAATGAACCCAGTCTCTGCTTCTAGGGAGCATAGAGGTAATTACCAAAGGACCATCACATCCTCACCAGCCCATGGGGTTAGGGAGGGATCCCAAAGGACAGCTAACAGTAGTGCTGCTGGTGAAGTGGTATCATGCAAGATTCCCAAAGGTCAGTTAAAGCAGTGGGCTCCATCAAAACAGAATCAGGGAGTAAGAGATCAGCCAGGGGCCACAAGAAGAAATAACCACTTATTTTTAATTTGTCCTTTATCTTTTGTATGTTTTCTAATGTTTAAAATATATTAATGTAGCAGTACATATATAATTTCTGGGGTTTCCCTGGTGGTTCAGATGGTGAAGAATCTGCCTGCAATTCAGGAGATCTGGGTTCAGTTCCATGGTTGGGATTGGTTGGGAAGATCTCATCTTCCCAACCCAAAAAGTGAATGGCTACCCACTCCAGTATTCTTGTCTGGAGAATCCCATGAACAGAGGAGCCTGGTGGGCTACAGTCCATGGGATTGCAAAGAGTCAAACATGACTGAGTGACTAAACACATATAATTTATATAAGAAATGTATGTATAATGATATTCACCATGGAAACAGCAGTGCATACTCAAAAAAAACCACTGATCTCAAACCCAGCTGATCATTAGAATCTCTCGGGGTTTCTTTTTTCCTAGAAAAACAAGTTTCTAAGCCTGATTCCAGTCCTAAAAAATCAGAATCAAACGCCTTTGATTCTACATTCTTAAAATCTTCCTAGGTTAATATGTGATCCTCGATGGGCCCCTAGAAAATATAAATTAAAGAAAGCTGTCAAGGACAGTGGGGGATAATAGGAGAAATTTGAATATGAAATATATAATCTATATTATATAATATACTAACACTATCCTAGATATAACAATTATATTGTGCTTATGCAGAAGAGCATCCTTGTTCTTAGAAGACAGATGCTGAAGTGTAGGGTGAAGTGTCATGAGTCTGTAACTTAGTTTCAAGTGGTTCAGCAACTAGAAAAAAAATTATATTAACAAGAGGAGCAGCCCAAGTACATGATGCAAAATGTTAACAATTACTGAATTTAAGTGAAAGATATTCTTGTGTTCATATTGTACCATACTTTCAACCTTTCTATAGGTTTAATATTTTCAAAGTAAAAATAGGGGTGGGGAGCATCGCAAGTGATTCTGATGATCAGGTGGGCATGACAGTCATTGATCTAGGATCTGGACAAACCACCTAGTCAGTGCATCTCTACCAAGCACTTACTCAGGATCTGCTTAACCCACATTAGTAACCAAAAGTCCATGACTTCCCAGGTCAACCGTCTCCACATATCAGGAGAGTATCCCTTTCATGTCTGCACCTTGGTTCTTGGTCCATCCTCCAGGGCTCTGCAGAATTTCTTTTCTAGATAGAGCTCCTCAGTCATTTGAGAAGAACCACTCCACCCCACTCTGAGGTCAACAGGTGTAATTACTTGAACCTCTCCCCCTGGGATAAGGTCCCACTACTTAATGACTGAGTTGGGATGCTCACAGCCCACCAGAAAGCAGCTGCCTTTACCCAAGCTCCATGCATGTTCTGGAGTAGGCAAGGAGGAAGGATTTCTGTTTTCCTGTGTTTTGGGTGGGTGAGTGACACAGGAGGGGGTGGTGCTCTGGGGCCTCATGATCATAAGCTGGGAGTACAAGAAACCAGATTCCATCAGGCTGAGAGAGCAACCCTCGGTGGGGAGGCAGCCTGGAGCACTTCTGCACCCAATCCCGGGATGGTCCTCCAGAGACACCAACCTGGTGACAACTGGGGTCTTCCAGGAGCACTGGAACTTGGGGGAGCTGGGATATCAGACTCTGGGGAGGTTTCTTCCTGGAGGGGACAGGAAGAGAGGGTGAGAACCTTCATACAGACACAGTTCTTAGGCAGGGGTAGAAGTGGGGGAGACCCTGCAGACCACCATGAAAGGGAGCCAGATGCAAACAACTTCCTAAAAGTTGGAGTGGTGATGACATTTAGTGGAGACTAAGGGCTGGGAATGATTGAAGGCGGGAGGAGAAGGGGATGACAGAGGATGAGATGGTTGGATGGCATCACCGACTCAATGGACATGAGTTTGAGTAAACTCCAAGAGTTCATGATGGACAGGGAAGCCTGGCATACTAGATTCCATGGGGTTGCAAAGAGTCAGACAGAACTGAGCAACTGAACTGAATTGAAGGGAAGTGTTGATTCAGTGGGAGACAGAGTGGGCCTGGTGAAAACAATCACAGTAGAAATAATGAGAAAATAAGAATCCTAACCCCCACCCCCCGCCCCCCCAGCTACAAGGCCCTTGCTGCCTAATCATCTCAATTGCCACACTGGAAACCCACTGGAGGCAGGGTAGGACCCTTGTCTTAGCTCACCCTCTCACTCTACACCTTGCCCCTTCAAAGGAAACATGCCACTTCTCATCTGCATGGCACTTAGAACTTTTCCAGTCATCTGGACATCGTGATTCTGACCGAGGAGTGCCAAGCCCACAGAGAACAACTGTTTGCACAGTCTAGAGAGAGACAGGATCTGTTGCCATCAGGCATCTGCACAGATCCAACAAAGACCACTCCCCAGGCCTGGCAGAAGGGCAGGTCATCGAGACAGGGTGGTGGGGGTGGCAGCAGCATCGGAAGCAGTGGCTGGCAAGGTCCGCTCTGACTCAGTGCTCTAAAGCAGATTTCCTCTGGTGGGTGGATTTCACCAACCGGCACGTTGACTATTCTTCCGGGTGAAGAAGACATCCTGGGAAGACCTAAGTCGTCACCTGCTGTAGCTGTGGTCAAGTCACCCCTGACCAGGAGGAATCACAGAGATGGGGGCCCAGTAGGACCTGCTGATGCCTCCACTCAGCACATCTGGGTTTTTTCTTTCATCCCTAGGTTCAACTCTAGGCAGCTGCTACCAACTCAAGGTGGGCTCAGGACTAGTGAGTCCCCAGTGCCTCTTCCTCTCTGCTCTTCTCCCCTCCGTGGTCTGTCGGTGGCGGGGTTCAGGGGTGGGAAGGGAACAGGTCAGCCCTTGGAGCTCCATTACCTGGGGCTGCTGCTGAGGATGGATCCGCAACTCAACTGGTTCGAGGTAGTTGCAGGGAACGAGCCCCTTCTGCAGCGCAGCATCGCGGAGCCAGAAAGGGGGAAGCAGAGATGCACTCGTTAGTAGCCACAGTGTAGGACGCCCAGAGACGTGGGGAGGGGTGGGGGGACAGGGGAAACAGGGGGAAGCTGGCCTGCATGTAAGGCAGCAGATGCTGCTCCTCAAAAAGCTCTGCCATGTGCTGCCAGGATCCTGTGCCCATAAACCCACCGCCCCATCCTCTGAATACCTGCCCGTTGAACATGACCGTAGCCCAGTTATCATTGCCCTTCTTCAAGACAAAGACGATGTTCCCTGGCATGACCTGTAGCTCCTCTGGTGTCTCAGGCACAAACCCAAACAACACACGGTGGGCTTCCCCTTCCAGGGCCCTGCGGGACAGGGGTGGGGAGAAGAGGAAGGGTAGACACAAGATTCGAGATCCCATCCACCATCTAGCCTGGACCACATCTGCTCCCATGATGCTGTGGGTCAGCAACTGTGGATCTGGAGCCAGGAGCCTCACTCCCACCTCTAACTGCCCAGGTGACCCCGAGCAGGGAGTTGCCCAAGAGGACTGCATGTGAACATGCTCCATAACCACACATGCAGTGGGGCAAGAGTAAAACAAAACATAACGCAACACTTGACGACGCCTTGCAACCCCTGCCCTCCCTTCCCTTCTGAGGAGGAAGGATCCCAGCTGTGCTTGGCCAGTGGCCGAGTCTGGGCGGGGCCCAATCAGATGCCAGGGTGCAAAGTAGAAAGTGGGTGAGAACCCGCTGGGTGAGGAGATGAGTGGGGGATGGGGGAGGAGAAATCCTCTAGAACAGCAGTCCCCAACCTTTTTGGTACCAGGGATGGGTTTCATGGAAGACAATTTATCCATGGACCAGGGTGGGGGGATGGTTTAGACATGACTGCATTTCTTGTGCACCGTGTTTCTATTTTGTGGCAATTTCAGGATATTCTGCCTTGACTTTAGGGTTAGGGTTCCAGCTCCTATGAGAACCTAATGCCGCTGCTCACCTCACAGGAGGCAGAGCTCAGGTGGTAATTTGAGTGATGGGGAGCAGCTGTAAACACAGATGAAGCTTTGCTCGCTCCCTGCCACTTGCCTCCTGCAGTGCGGCCCAGTTCCTTAGTGGGCCACCGATTGGTACCAGTCCATGGCCCAGGGGTTGGGTACCCCTGCCCTAGAGCCAGCTGGGGCCGTCCATGGGGGAGGGACAGAGAGTAGGAGAGATGGGCCGGGAGGCAGTGGGGGGATGTGAGGCTGCCTTACTCTGCATTATGTAATGTTTCCTCTTTACTGTTTCCTCAAGACCTGCTCCGCTCTGGGGTGTCCCATCTGAGCCACTTCAGAATGTGTGACTGCGGCCGGCTGGCCTCTCCAGGCTGGTTCCCTCTCCCTCCCACTCTGCTACTTTCACTTCGGCCCTTCCTTTTGTCTCCAGACCCTGAATTCATCTCTGTAGGGGAGACGGCCTCCCCCAGCACATGGGGAGCTTAGGAGTGAGTTCGTAGGCCCCTTCCTTTTTTCTAGTTGCTTTGGCACTCTCTTCACTCCTTGTTACAACCTTCCCTAGTGGGGAGGGGGAAGTTGGGCTTGCTTCTTCACTTAGAGATAACTCTGAAGAAAGCTGTAGGTTTTGTCATCCTTGGCTTCTCCTTAGAGAAGAATGACTTCTTTTTCTCGAGTCCTTCCTCTTCCTTCTTCAGAAAACGTGTGCCAGCAGGGAGTGAAGAACGCGCCCACACAGGAAAGGACACGCCGTTCCGGCCTCCCACTCTGTTCTCCCAGCTCCAGGGAGCCTGGCCTCTCGGGGGCTCCTCCTGAGAGGAGGGCACCCTCCTCTCCTCTATCCTGAGGTCTGTGTGCAGCCCTCAGAGGGTGGTGTTCCACAGACTCTGGGTGCATGCTGGCGTGGGGACACAGGGCCAGCCCGCGGCTGTAGCCAGGTCACCGTCAGCCTCACCGTGTTGGAAGCTCCATTCCCACCGCCATTCCGCTCTAGCCTTGAAAGCAGGAGGAGCCTTACGTGCCAGGCTAAATTCCTCACAATTTGGACCCTGACCCCAGCTTCACCTTCTTCACCCCTTTGTTGCCCTCAGTTCAGGCTTGGGAGTTTGGATATTCTGCATTTTGGTCTAAATCTAACTTACCTGAAGATCTCTGGGGTTTTCGGCCTGGGTGGAGGCTCAGCTGCCTATCAGACATTCAGGAGAAATAAAGGAAGCCAGGATCACAAGGGGAGGAGGGGAGAGAGAACAGACAGTTAATAGTAATTTAAGCCTCCTTCTAGACCAGAACATCGAAGACTGCATTTCTGGCTCAATTAGAACACTCTCGAGGGAGAAGGCAATCGTGTACCCTGACTAAACACTGGAAAAGAACACTTCCCACCAGCTCCCTGGGCCCAGATTTCACCAGCACAGCAATGCATCTTGAGTCAGACTTGTTTTCTGGAGTTTTAGCTGTCACAGAGCAACATGGCATCATGAGGGTGCTTCTGCCCTTGAACTCCGTCCCCCTCCTAGGACAGTTTCTCAAAGCACTGCTCTATAATTAACATCGATCACATGACATCCGTGGGTAGTTAAAAACCAACTCAAGGGGCTTCCCTTGCATTCCAGTGGCTTTCTGTGCTTCCAGTGCAGGGGGCGAGGGTTTGATCCCTGATCAGGGAACTAGATCCCACATGCCATGTGGCCAAAAAAAACCTCCATGCCTGTGATGATAGTTACACAACTCTGTAAATATACCCAAACTCATTCAGTTGTGCAAGTGAAGTAAGTGAATTGTATGATATGTATATTATAGCTTAATAAAAATTTTAAACAATAAATAAAAATCAACTCAAGGTCCACTGGTCAGGTAAGAATCTCCTTTTGAAGTGTGATCCCTGTTCTACCCTGAGAACTGTGGAGCCCAGTTATCCGGGCTTTTTCCCCTCTGGGAGTCCCCTGGGTGCCCCAAAGCCTAAGGGAGTCCTGCAAGGCTTTCTTCAACTCTCTGGTGAAGAGAGAGATCAAAGAATCTCGCCTCTCTTGCTCTCCTCCTCTGTTCCTCTTAGCCTCTGGTTCCCCAGCCTTGGTCGCCTTCTGGGCCAGCAGTCAACTCTCTGACCCTGGGAGGCTGTCAGCGTGGCCCTCAGAGTGGCCAGGTGTGTGCACCCTGGACCGTGGGACCACCACACTCAGAAGCTCCTCGCTGTGCTCACCTGGACCGACGCCCCTGCCCATAACGGTTCTGTTGCCACAGAGCTGGAACTGTCCTCAGCGGCACTACCCGCTTCCCTTCACAAGGAAGCGCTGCCTTCACATTCCAGACCCACTGGCATCTAGTCTATCTGGAACCGTCTCTGAGCTCAGCCTGGGGGGATAGATGGTTCGAGCTGGGGACCCCCCCCCATGTTCCCGAGGGAATCGCTGCGTATGGCCAATGGCTGCAGCCGGAAGAGCTCCCCCTGTGTCCTGTGTCTGAGAAGGGACAAGGAGCAGAAGGCTTCCACGGCTGTTGTTTCAGTTTTCTGAGCGAGTGGTCAAGGCTTCGGGAGAGACGAGGCACGCTGAGCTCTCCTGGAACTTTAGAGAAGCGAAGGCTGGCATTTGAGGGGGAAATGGAGGGCTGGCTCCTGAGGACTTGAGGTGACGCCCAAGGATATGATCTTGTTCCCCTTCCAGCTCTGGGATCCCTGACCAAGCATGGCCCGGCAGACACCCTCTGCAGACCGAGAGCTCAGCTTAAGGAGCCCTGAAAACGAGGCCCCTCAGCACAGACGCTCTGCCCGAGTTGGCCCTTTCCCAGCCCTGGAGACGCGCGGAGAAGAGCAGGACCACCTCACCTGTGGCTGCAGGGGGGCAAAGCCTGAGAAGCTGTCCTGGTCTACCACAGACGCCACAACCTGAAATTGGGACAGGGGGGTGTGAGGGCTGCGCTGGCTCCGTGTGCCCGTCCTTCTTGGGTCTCCCCAGGACCCCTTCCTTCCTCGCGCCCTGGGTCTGTTCTCACAGGCACTTGGTTCCCGTAGTGGATGGTGGCTAGGGATGGGCTTGCCGACCCTCGGGTGAGAAGCTGCCTCCCCAGGGCAGAACCAGAGGCAGGCGCCCCTTCCTCCAGGATCCCCTCACCCTCACTCCGCAGGGCTTATGCAAAAGGGGACTCAGGGGACTCCGAGCGCCTCACTCACCGTGGCCTTGCCTAGGTAATCCTTCTTGACCAGCTGAGCCACTTGCCTCTCGTTCGGCCGAAAGAGCCTGCCCACAGGGATCACCACCGGCTCATAGAGCTTCTGTTTCTAAAACACAGAGAACAGAGTCTTTTCCTACCTGTAAAATGGGGGTGACGACCCTGGTCCCTCACTGAGCAGATGCACGGATCCATTGAGAGAACCTCACAAGGGCGCTTTTTTTCCACGTGCAGGGCTGGACTTGTTAGCCTGTCAGGGAGAACTGTTTGGTTTCACTGTCACCTTACACCAAGACATCTGCGGGTGCTGTTTGCCCAGCACCCTCTTTTCCAAGAGGGGCTGCCCTCTCCCATTCTGTGTGGTTCAAGTGGGGCTGTCGCTCCTGATGTGGGTGGCCCAGGCCCCGAGCAAGGCCGATGACAGTGCTCTCTTGGGGCTGCAGCCGTGGACAAATATGTACAGACTGACCTAAGCCCCCTTGTTCCTGGTGTTTAAAAATATGATTTAGAACAAGCTTCATCCCTACATGTGCTCAAACTCAACTTCCCATCGTTTGTTCCTATAATCAATGCATTTTTTCTTGAGAGCTGTCGTGTGCCTGGCCCGGAGCCAGGCTGCAAGAACCCAGGGGTGAGCGAGTGGGCACAGCCTCTGCCCTTGGGTGCTGCCCCCGCACCCCCACCATAGCCCCCTCGGAGGGGCGTGAGGAGGGCGCCGCTGTCTCTTCCTCTAGGCCTCAGCTTCTTAGACTTCCACACTCAAGATCCCACAGGGAAACAGACCCCGAGATCAGTGTTACCCGGAGCTCAGAGGAAGTGAAAGCACCACATTTTTGCTCCCCAATCAGCGTGTGCACAGAAACAAACCCGAACCCAAGGAGACCCTCTCACCACCTGCTTCGCCAGCACACTCACCCAAACGCTTTCCATGGCTCTGTCAATTTTGGAATGTCTCGGCTCAGACTTCATGCTCACAGCCAACGCTAAATGTTCTTCAGCCTTTCTCCATTCCTCTCTCTTGGCGTACATGAAAGCAATGTTATATAACACCTAGAAAAGCACAGGCCACAGCAGAAAGCTTGAGGCTGCTCCGAGTCTAGGGACCAGGCAGGGAAAAGCTTGCACACTTTTTGTTCCTGAAATGTTGCCTGGTGACCTTTCTCCCTTCCCCAGCTCTCCTGGAGATATCTACAATATAGGACAATCAATATTGCTCCTGAGTTATATCTAACACAAGGATGGTGTGGAGAAAACATCATGTAATGCAAAACTCCAGCATCGTGTGCATTCCTTCAACAACCAAGTAGGTCACGGGTGGGCTACAGCTGTTGTGTGGTTTTGGTATGGACAGCAGTGATGTGTTCAAGGCCCCTTGAAGAGCTGGGGATAAAATACATGCTTGTGGCCTCCTAGACCAGCTCCTGCCACTGGTCCTGGGCTCAAAGACTGGACAGATGTGGGATGGAGAGACAGAGGGTTCTAGATGCATCGTCCTGCATCCACAGAACCCATTCTAGAACCTAGGAGTAACAAGATGTAATGTAGTCATATGGGCAGGAGGAAACTCTATGGGCAAGAGTTCGCTGAAGCTGGAAAGAGACCCAATACAGACCCAGGGCAACACTTCACCTGGAGTGGAAGGAAATCAAGATGGCAACTAACAGGCAGGGTTTACTTTACTTTTTTTTTTTTAAGATTTTTTTTTGCACTTGAACAGTTTTTAAAGCCTCTATTGAATTTGTTACAACATTGCTTCTGTTTTAGGCTTTTTCTGGCCCCAAGACATGTGAGCTCTTAGCTCCTCAACCAGGGATCAAACCAATGCCCTGTGCATCAGAAGGCAAAGTCTCAACCACTGGATCACCAGGAAAATCCCTAATTTACTTGTTAATGACAGTGTAGCCAATTCTTAGGGCTCCTCACATCATGTATGGAGGATGACTAAATGGCCAGGAACTACTGCAGGCTTCTCACAGGTCAAAGTGATAGGAGTCACAGCCTGATGCCCTGGGGTGGGGTGTGGCTGGTTCTCCGGGGCTCCAGAGAGGAGATACAGCCAGTCACCTGAGGCCTGGTTGGAGAAGGGGACTGTTGGCCTTCTAAGCTGTAACGCACGGAGGTAGTGCCGTGGAGGGACCTTAGGGCTATTTTCTACTATGCGGCCTCAGTTTCATTATAAAATGATGATAATAATGCTTCCTGCCTACAGATTTTTGTAAGAAATGAAGAATTCATGTAAAGCACTGAGTTTCATTGTTTGGCACGTGGTGGTGGTTTTAGAGCTCTTCATTACTATCACCACTGTTATCTGCGTAACTGTCTTGGGACTTGCTTGGGAGGCTGAGCACAGAGGTCTTGCCCGCCTTCTCGGGGAGGGTGACAATGCCCATGTGGTTTGGGGGAAGACCAGAGGGCTGAGTTTGCTGACTGATACCATCTGGGGGTTCTTTGTAGTCAGAAAGCTAAACCTATGAAGAACTCAGGGCTCCTGGAAATCAGTGCTGTCTGTTGTCTTTATCATCATCATTGATTGTTATGATTTACTGACCATCACTATGAGCCAGGCACTTTATCTGCATTATCTCTAAGCCACACAACCACCATACAAAGTAGGGGCCTCACTTCTATGCTTCCAGAATCCTCCCCTAGCACTTTTCTCCTCCTAACCCAGTCACCTCACCTTATACGTGACCGTGAACGTTTGGCTGCTGACACCTTGTCTTGTGGCCCCTGGGACCTCTCATGCCTGACCCTAGCTGGCATTATGTGTGTGCTCAGTCATATCCAACTGTTTGTGGCCCGATGGACTAAAGCCCGCCAGGTGCCCCTGTCCATGGGACTCTCCAGACAAGAATACTGGGGTGGGTTGCTGTTTCCTCCTCCAGGGGATCTTCCCAATCTGGGAATCAAACCTGCATTTCCTCCGTTGACAGGTGGATTGTTTACCACCACGGAGCCACCTGGGAAGCCCCAGCAGACATGATAAACATATGCAAAAATGAATGAAAGTGTTAGCAAATGTGTATAGGGTAAGTACTCAGCCTTTCTTTACAGATGAGGAAGAGCCCGAGGCTCAGAAATGACACTGAATTCACCAAGGTTTATTAGACTAGGAAGTGTTGGGCTGGGATCGGATCCCTCTCTCTCTGATCCCAAAGTCCTTGCTTTAGTACAACCAGCTTCCAAGATAGCACCAGTGATTCTCACCTCCTGGTACTCCCCCACCTGCATAGTGCCTTCCACATCCAAGGGAGCTGACGTGTATAGCGAATAGAATATTATGGAAATGAGAGGTTTCCATAATGTGACATTTGAGGTTAAGCTATAAAAGACATCAACACTCTGTATCAATTCCTCTTGGATTTGGAATTTCTCTTCTGGGGGAAGCCAGCTACCATATAATGACAGGACTCAGGCAGCCTTAGGGAGAGGGTCAAGTGGTGAAGAACTGAGACCTCCTGCCAAAAAATAACCCTAACTCGCCAGGTACCTAAGTCACCTTGGAAGTAGATCCTTCAGCCATGGTCAGGCTTTCAGAGGATGGCAGCCCTACCAACATCTCTACTGCAACCTCCTGAGAGCCTCTGAGCCAGGACCACCCAGCCAAGCTTGGGTTACTGATGCCAGAAACCGTGAGAGAATCGTTTTAAGTGAAAGTCACTCAGTCGTGGCTGACTCTTTGCGACCACGTGGACAATAGTCCATGGAATTCTCCAGGGCAGAACACTGGAGTGGATAGCCATCCCCTTCTCCAGGGGATCTTTCCAACCCAGGGATAGAATGCAGGTCTCCTGCATTGCAGGTAAATTCTTTACCAGTTGAGCCACCAGGGCAGCCCAGATTGTTCTAAGCCACTCTATTTTAGAGCAATTTGGTATTCAGCAGTGGAAAACTGGAGAAGGAAATAGCAACCCACTCCAGGATTCTTGCCTGGAGAGTCCCTGGCGGACTACAGTCTATGGGGCCACAGAGAGTCGGACATGAGTGAGCAACTGGCACACAGTGGAAAACTATTACACTTCTCAGTACCAGTCTACCACCTACACTGTGATTGGCCCCGGCCTCACCCAGAATAGAAGAGAACTGTTTATTAAGGCAAGTATGGATGTGAAATTGGGCCATAAAGAAGACTGAACACCAAAGTCTCTCAAACTGTGGTGCTAGAAAAGTCTCTTGAGATTCCCTTGGACAGCAAGGAGATCAAACCAGTCAATCCTAAAGGAAATGAACCCTAAAGATTGATTGGAAGAATTGATGCGGAAGCTGAAACTCCAGTACTTTGACATCTGATGCGAAGAGCTGATTCATTGGATCATTGGAAAAGACCCTGATGCTGGGAAAGATTAAGGGCAGGAGGTGAAGGGGGTGACAGAGGATGAGATGGTTGGATGGCATCACCGACTCAATGGACATGAGTTTGAGCAAACTCTGGGAGCTAGTGAAGGACAGGGAAGCCTGGCATGCTGCAGTCCATGGGGTCATAAAGAGTCAGACAAGACTGAGCGACTGAACAACATGGATGGTGGCAGGGCTGCTTTTCCCACAGAGTTAGCTGGCTGGTGCTGAATGATGGGGACAGGGACCAAGCCCAGAAGTGGAGATCTAGACTCCCTTCCTGGGCTCTTTCTGGGCCTCAGTGAGCTATTGCCACCGGCAAACATGCTTGACTGGCCTGATCCTCCCCCATGAGCATGCATGCAGGAAGAAAGGGACCTGGAGGCTGTTTAAAACCTTCTGCTTGGTTCTCAGACACCTACTCTTAAGACCTTCTCTAGCAACAGGTTTTTATGACTCCATGACTGGGAAAAGCCTGAGACTCTTTTTCTGGTATGATTTCTCAGAATTCTGGTGGAAGGGATGTGTGGTCTTATAATTAGGGAAGTGACTGGAGTGTCCCAGGTGGCAGACAGGACACTGAAAAGTCCAGCATCCCTAGCAGAGAGGCCTGCACAGCCAGTATTTCCTGCCTCCTGGGTTATTTCAACTCCAGCTACAGGAGGAACATTCCCCCCATGGAGTTCTGCTTTGATGCCACTATTCTAGGATGATTTCTCCAGAGCTTCTTGGTCCCTCAACCCTTTAATTGGCATAAATGATTCTCAATCAGGGGTGATCCGCAATGTCTAGAGATATTTTCGATTGTCACCCTGGGAATGGGTTGCTACAGGCATCTAGTGAGTAGAAGCCAGGGACGTAGCTCAGCATCCTATGAGGCAAAGGCCAGTCCCAAGAACAAAGGATGAACTGGTCTAACACATCAAAAGGACCGCAGTTGAGAGACTACACGCTGGAAGCTGGCCAAATGCCAGCCCTCCAAAAAGCCTCATTTCCCTAGACAAGGAGAACTGAAGTTGTTATCCTGCGGCGGGGCTGGATGGAGACACGTGTCCCCAGGGGCGCAGGCAGCTGTGGACTCTATTATTAGCCCTGAGTGACCCTGGGAACACTGGGCTGCTTCTGCCTGAGAAACTCAAGCAAGGGGCTTTCTTTCACTGATTCTGCCAACTAAAAATCTACATTTGAAGGGATTTTAGTTTTAAAGTTACTGGTGTATATTAGGGATTTAGAATGAGAGTGGGGAGGGTTGGTTGGAAAAAGTACATGAACCTGTAAAGTCAAAGCCAGTCACGCGTCTCCATCTTGGTGATACAGAACATGTTACCCCTCTGTGAAGACCTTTCCTAACTGTGGGCTCTGAGCTGTTCTTTGACCAGGAGGGTACAGGTTGGTGCTAAATGATCCTCACTCTTTCTTTGGGTATCAACCAAGTACACGAGGCCACACCATTCATCTCAAAATGTGTGAACTTGGGAACCAAGCCAGGGTAAAGCAGTTTCTGCATGGAGAGTGAAACTGTGATTTTGGTTTATTTTGTTGTTTTGTTGTTATCTTTTGATTTGCTTTGGTTTTTGCTGCAAAGGAAGCTTCGCTAGGGCAGAGACCTCTGTGATTTTGGATTTGTTAATATAATGCTGAGAAAACACCCTGCAACCTGAATCATGCAAATTATGATGAATGTTTTTGGGCTTCCCTGTGGCTCAGATGGTTAACACTCTGCCTGCAATGCAGGAGACCTGGGTTCAATCCCTGGTTTGGGAAGATCCCCTGGAGAAGGGAATGGCAACCCACTCCAGTGTTCTTGCCTGGAGAATCCCATGGACAGAGGAACCTGGCAAGCTACAGTCCATAGGGTTGCAAAGAGTCAGAGACGACTGAGCAACTAACACATACACACGAATACTTTCACAGACCAACACACTCATGCCCAGCCAAGCTTCCCTTCAGAGAATCCAGCAAACTTATTTCTACATGGTCCTTTGAGCCTCACGTTAACAAAATCCATGCACTCAGGTAACTGAAGACTCCATTAGGAGCCCTAAGCAATGGTTCTGAGTTTTTTCTTAAGGGTATATCTGAGTCCCAAGGGAGGGGAGGCAAAATGCCTTCTCGGGCTCCTAGAAGTGTCAACAGATGGCTGTGCATCTGAGCTGACAGCTTCCCCTCGGCTGCCCAGGCTTCCACCACTGCCCAGACTAGGCCCTCCTCTCCTCACCTCACAGGCAAACAGCTTGAACTGTAGCCCCAGGATCTTGTAGTCGATCAGCTGGTTCCCTCGAAGCTGAGTCAAGGCCTCCTTAAGGTCTTTAATGGCGGAATCGTATCTGCAGGAAAGAAGCCAGTTCAGGGAAAGGAGGAAAAGAAGAATGAAGTGGGTGTCTGTTTCCTTTCGTCCATCTGTTTCACTGGGACAAGAAGTCTTTTCAATCCTTTTTGACCTGCTTTAGTTTTTCGCCAACCCTGACCCCAGGATTCCGTAGAACTTGGTGTGAACAGCGCCCCGGGGTTCTGTATCCCAGCAACACTGCAGGCCTTCCAGTCTCAGGCCGCCACAGGGATCTCTGTCTCTGTTGACTTCACACAGCCCCCACCTTTCTGACAACCAGCTTGTCACTTTCTGAGCGAACCTCGATCTCCCCAGAGAGCTCCAAGCAGAACGGCACCTGCCAGCCCCCATGTCTCCGTGGAGCTGATCCACTCCCCACCAAGCGGCCAGGCCAGCCTGATGCAGCTCCCAGGGGCCCTTCGTCATGGCCACTGATGTCAGCCTCCTGCCCAGAGCCTCCTGCTTCAGCGTCTTTTGAGTCCAACTTAGCTCTTGGTTTGTGGCTGTCCCCTCCCTCCTCTTCCACATACTTTAGGTAAAAAGACAAACCATCACTTAAGCCAGAGAGCCCTTTTTTTTTTCTTGGTAAATAGTTAAGAATAAAAATGTTTTAGATTTCTGTGTATTTAATTTTTGGCTGAGCTGGGTCTTTGTTGCTGCACACGGGCTGCAGTGCACAGGCTTCTCATTGCAGTGGCTTCTCTTGTTGGAGCACCGACTGCAGGCATGCAGGTTTCAGTAGCTGCGGCTCTCAGGCTCTAGAGCATGGGCTCAGTAGCTGTGACACACGGGTTTAGTTGCCCCATGGTACATGGGATCGTCCCAGCCTCAGGATCGAACCAGCATCCCTTGCATGACAAGGCAGATTCTTAACCACTGGACCACCAAAGAAGCCTCCAGAGAGCACCTCTAACCCTGCTCCTGGCACTGGCCTTCAGCTCCATTGGGTTGGCATTGTGCTGACTGGCTTCAGGTGGATCAGGACTGCCATCATTGGATTGGTAGCAGAGAATAGGGCTGACCACACCAATAGTGCCCACTGGGGTGTGGGCAGGACCTGGGCCAGGCCTGCTTGGCCTACCTCTGATCTCTGCAGGGGCCCTGGTGCGAGGGAGCCATTGCTGAGCAGCAGGGGATAGAAGCAGCAAAAGTCAAGCTACCCCAGCCCCAGCCCAGCCCCCGGTCTGGCAGGAACAAATTTGCCTGTCTGTGGGGCTCCCACCAGGCAACTAAACCAAAAGTCCCTTGGCCACCATCTGACCCAGAGCTGCCACTTGTTGCTTCTCTTGGAGACAAGCCTGGAATGTGGCCACAGGCTGGTGGGGACCCTCGAGAGGTGGTGTGGGTAATGAAGATGCCCAAGGACAGCGGCCAAGGGACTGGGACCAGGCCCACCAGTCCTGCCACTAACTGGGAGACCCTGGCAAATTGCCTCCCTGGCCTCACTCCACACTGATATTATAAGGAGTGCATTGTGTGCAAGGGACGTGTTATATTCAGGGAGCATAGCACATCAGGTGCTTGCTCGTATGTGGTCCTGGATCTAATTTCTGAAGTCAAACCCACATGGACTGGAGTGCTGCTTCTGCCCCTTACTAGCTAGTGACAAAGGGGTGTGCTGTATGCTTAGTCACTCAGTCATGTCCGACTCTTTGCAAGAAGCAAGTTACTTAATTCCTGTCTTTCCTCATCTTCAGTATGAGAGCATAAGGGCAGCACAAACCATTCAGGTGCTTAGGACGGTGCCTGGCACTCACATACCAATCTTCTATTGCATGCTTGCGTGTGTGCATGCTAAGTCACTTCAGTCATGTCCTACTCTGTGTGACCCCTCAGACTGAAGCCCGCCAGGCTCCTCTGTCCGTGGGGATTCTCCAGGCAAGTGTACTGGAGTGGATTACTGTGCCCTCCTCCGGGGGATCTTCCCGATTCAGGCATGGAACCCGCATCTGTTATGTCTCCTGGATTGGCAGACGGATTCTTTACCACTAGTGTCACCTGGGAAGCCCGTATTACATGCCTACTTAATACTACATACTGTATTAACTGTTATCAGGAGATAAAAATACAGTTGTTGGGACTTCCCTGGCGGTCCAGTGGCTAAGACTCCACGCTCCCAATGCAGGAGGCTGGAGTTTGATCCCTGGTCAGGGAACTAGATCCCACTTGCCACAACTAAAGATCCCACATGCCATAGTGAAGATCAAAGATCCCACATCCTACAATTGGGACCCAGTGCAGACAAATAAATAAATGAAACATTTTTAAAAAATACATGGCTGCAGAAGCCAGAATGCTCATGTCAGGGAAACGGAGCTGACCAGGAGGGTGGCTTGGCTGAGAGGTCCCAAGGTGTCTGGGGGAACGCTGGACGTTCTGTCATCATTTGGTTGGAAGTGACTCCCACAGTCACAGGAATGACGGGAGCAGACAGCCTGGGTTGGAAACAGAAGGATGGCTTCCTCTAACATACTTTTTTTAATACGTGAAGTTGCTCAGTCCTATCCAACTCTTTGCGAGCCCATGGACTGTAGCCTACCAGGCTCCTCAGTCCATGGGGTTTTCCAGGTGAGAATACTGGAATGGGTTGCCATTTCCTTCTCCAGGGGATGGTCCCGACCTGGGGACTGAACCCAGGTCTCCCACATTGCAGGCAGATTCTTTACTGCCTGGGCAACCAAACCTTTCACAAGCATGCAAGCCATTCCTTAAACATCTCACGTCATTTATACACCCTTTAAGGCATTTCCTTGAAGGGGGAGAGGGGAAGCATTCCTGTTCTTCTAAGCTGGAACATGGCGGGTGACTGGCTCTGATTCACTGAGCCATGGAGCGGGGCGGGGTGCGGAAACACGGAAAGAGGTGTCCCGTTTACTGGGCAGATGGGATTTCCATCGTGTCCCACTGCCTGTGTGAGTGCACGGAAGGTCCTCAGAGGGCCCGTGAGGCTCTGTCTGCAGTCACCTGCGGATGTGCCTGCCTCCCTCAGCAGATGAGTTTCAGCTGGGTCTACCTGGGATTGAGTGAGCCCAGCTCCTTCTAATTCTGCCCAGCAAGATTGCTATCTGGGCCCAGTAGGAGGGAGAAAGGAAGGACTGACGTCATTCAAAGGCTTGCTTTGTGTTTAAAACACCCCTGCTAGGTGTCTGTTTTTAAACGTCTTAGACAGCATCGCCCTGAAGGCCTCTCCTCAGCCACCTGGTTTACCCAGAGCAGCTCCCCTGGGGCGTGTGCTCTGATGCAGAGCTCTGCTTCCCGCTGCCCAGGGTCTGAAAAAGCTCAGTGTGAGAAATCCAAAATAGCCTTCAGCCCCGTGCGCTGGGGGGCAGGCAGCACAGCCGCTGCCTCTTTCCAGCCCTCCTGCAGGAGCCTTCCTCCCTGCCATTTGGAGTCCACAGCGTCCAAGGAGGCCAAGGAGCCGGCCTCCTCCCCTGGTTCTGCTGGGCAGGACCTGAGCGCACACCTGGAAGTCACTGCCTGCTGTCTTCTCAGCTCACCAGCACAACTGCCGACCGGCTTGTGCTTCTCCCCAGCTCTGAGCCGGAGAGGGTTTATTATCCTCGTTTCGGTAACACTCCCTGGGAAGGTTTTTTTCCTTAGTAACCACTGAAGTTCCCAATTAGTCCCGCACTGCCAGTGCCCGCCTGTAGACTAGAATGCTGCAGTCCACACTTGGGTAATGGAGAGAGACTGAACCGGCTGAAAGGAGTTGAAGCATCACACACCTCCATGCCAGAGCCTGGGGCCATGCCCTTGCCCGTTTCAGAAGTCAGAGAAAAGACTTCGCTGCGTTGCCTCTTTGAGCAGCTCCATCTAAAGGGTCTGGCCATATTTTCTGGGCCCTAAAATGTATAACGGGCTGCCCAGGTGACTCAGATGGTAAAGAATCTGCCTGCAATGCAGGAGCCGCTGGTTCAATCCCCGGTCAGGAAGATCCCCTGGATGGCAATCCACATCCAATCCCATCCCATGTAGAGAGGAGCTTACAGTGGGCTACAGTCCATAGGGTCACAACGGATCTGACACGACTGAGCACATATACATGCAAGATTTATAAGGTTGGGATCTGAAACATACCTTGAGATCCCATCTCCTTTTGGATGACAAGGTGGGGGTTAGAGAGATGAGACATCCCTCAGACCTGACTTGCCTGGGCAGAACAACTTTAACTTTATTCTGGTGGAAATTTATAATGACAGAGGAGCAACCCCACAACATCTGAAAGTGGGAAAACCTGAGAGAAGAAACAGCCATTATTCACACCTTAAAACAAACCCTGTAGTAATCTGAAGGTCATCCTAACCCATCACTGAGAAGCGATAGTTCTAGGTCCGCATAGGCACTTATCTAAAAACATCTCCCATAGCACTTGCCCCATTCTGCCCTGCATAATAGTCCTAGTGTTTGTGACCTGCTTCCCCTTTTTAATACGCAAGTTCCTTGAAAGTGTGAAGGGTTAGTTGCTCAGTTGTGTCTGATTCTTTGCAACCCCATGGACTATAGCCTGCCAGGCTCCTCAGTCCACGAAATTCTCCAGGCCAGAACACTGGAGTAGGTTGCCATGCCCTCCTTCAAGGGATCTTCCTGACCCAGGGATCGAACCCAGGTCTCCTGAATTGCAGGCAGATTCTTTACCATCTTAGCCACCAAGGAAACCCTGTAAGTTACTAGAAGCAGAGGCTATATTTCACCCCCTTGTTTATTTACTCCCATGAGAATTTATTAATACTGTACTAGATACTGAAATATAAGAGTGAATAAGTATTCTTGCCTCACGAGTAGTGGAGGAGACAAATATACAAGCAAGTATCTGTCATTGAAGAGACAGCTGTGATTAAAGGAGGCACAAAAGAGGGTAGTCACTTGGGTGAGTGTGCTTAGGGCAGACATTGGAGGATGTAAGTGGGCAGACAGCGGCTGAACCAGAGAGCAACAGGCAAGGGAAGCTCCTCTTTATCCTGGGATCCACTGAAGGCTCTTCAGCAGATCACATTTCTTTTTCAAAAAAGATCATTCTAGGATATCATTGGAGCAGGCAAGAGCGGTGGCTAAGGAATCAGTTTGGAAGTCATGGTGCAGTAGTCCTGGTAAAGAAATGAAGTCTAAACCAGCGCGGTGCTGGAAGGGAGGGAGAGGATTCATGTATGATTTTCAGGGGACACTAACCCCCCTGAAATTGCACATAAAATTAAGCATGTGCTTGTATGTGTTTTTCTGGGAAGATTGCCCATATACTTTGCTATTTAACAAGTGAAAAAAAGGACAAAGCATCAAGAGCTGAACCTTGAACTTTCCTGGTGGTCTAGTGGTTAAGTACCACTGGCCAATGCAGGGGACATGGGTTTGATCCCAGGTCCAGGAAGATTCCACATGCTGAGGGGCAACGAAGCCCATGCGTCACAACTACTGAGCCTGTGCTCTCAAGCTTAGAAGCCACGACTACTGAAGCTCGCGTGCCCGAGAGCCCATGCTCCACAATAAGGGAAGCCACCGCAATGAGCAGCCCACACACTGCAATGAAGAATAGCTCCTGCTTGCTGCAGTCAGAGAAAGTCTGCACACAGCAACAAAGACCCAGCACAACAAAAAAGAAACAAAAATTTTAAAACAGAGCTGAATCTTGTGGAGGGGAGGCCACCAAAGCCTATGGATCGAGCAAAAGAAAAAAAGGACAGCTCAGGACCCAGACTCATGTCTCATTTATGTAATTTCCTCAATAAATAGTTGTTGAATTAAAGATAAAATTTGATAGATTTCTCTCTTAGATTTAACGATTACCAGTCACAGACTGATTGATTCCTGAGTCTGATTCCTGGATCTTACTAAGATTGTTTTGACTCACTCAAAACACGAGGCGTTCAGGTTCTGGGATTTCTGGGCATTTCATAGAGAAATGTCTTCTGGGAGTCTCCCATCTCGGCCATCCGTCTGTCCTCATTTTAGGCTGTTAGAGGTGGCTCACGAATGGCCTGAGTTTGTCCTTCTAGAGATCTACGAGAGGATTTGTGCTCAGACCTGCCCACAGGTCCTATATATCCTGAGGCTGGTGGGGATGGTGGGGGTGGGGGTGGGGGCAATGAGAAGGAGAAAAGGGATAAAAGGGAGACAGGCGTGATGCCATTGAAAGTAAAGGCCTGTGTGTCTTCTCTCCATTCAAGGCTTTCCCTTCCCAGACTGCCTCCGTGTCTGTTTGGGAGACTTCACTGCTGCTCTTAACTCATTCAGGTGAATGACCGCATCTACATCCCGGAAGTCCTCTGAGTGTCTGGTAGTTGCCCATGGCAATGGCTCTGCACGGTGGCCTGGCAGGCTTGGTTTCTGACTAAATCTGATGATCAATGCCTTTTGGGGTTCCAGAGGATCAGAGCCCAGCCTATCCCGTCCCCAGTGCCTGGACATTCTCTGTAGCCTCCCCTCTATCTCACCAACACCCTTCCTCATCTGTTGTGCACATACCTGCACACACATACACACCATGCCCCTGCTAACATGTTACTGTTTGAACTGTTCTTCTTTAGCCTGAGCTGAACCGTCTTCTCTGGAACTTGTGCACACTCAGAGAACTATTTCTATGAAAGGTCAGTTAACCATTCCCTACATTTTAAAGGAATGCTTAGAATATATTTTGTTATTTGAATGTTTTTAGGGTGTTTGGGGGAGGGGTGTGGGACTCTAGATTAACTTTCATTTTCTATTTGTCTTTTTACTAATTATTTCCTGTTGACTCTAAACACGCCAAAAATACAGAAAGGTTGACAGAAGAAGATGGAAACCTCTATAATTTCACCAACTGGGGAGGACTGCTGAAAACATTTTGGTCTATGGCCTTTCAGACTATTCTGCGAAACGGTAATGGGATTGTGTGATACTATTTTGAAATGTTTTAAATGTAGTATCTATTGTGAACTTCTTTCTATAGTAAGACAAACACTACTCCACTACTCATCTGTGTTAATATATTCTGGTACATACAATATTAATTGTTTATGTTCTCATTTTAGTGACTGAATTATATCTCACTGAATGCATTAAACTGGGTTTTGGAAAATACATTCTGCAGGAATGTGTTTTTTTTGTTAAACCAGATCTAAGTCAATCACCTAGGAAGCTTTTATTTATTTATTGGCCACGCCCATGTGACCTGTGGGATCTTAGTTCTCTGACCTGGGATTGAACCCAGGTCCTCAGCAGGGAGAGTGCGCAGTCCTAACGAGTGGCCCCCCAAAGGAAGAAAGGTTCTGATGTGGTTTCCTGAGTGTTGGCATTGTGTGAGAGCTCACCACCTCACAGCAGCAGGCAACCATGGGTGCTCCCTTGACGGCTGCAGTATTTAGAACCAGAACCGCCCAGGCGGTGACCTTTCAGGAAAAGGTGGGGTGCCATCCCCAGCCTGTGATGCTTCTGCAGCCTTATGGTGAGTTGTAGCTGGGCCTGCCTCCCCCCTCCCCAGAGAGGGCTTCTGCCTCGTGCTGATTGCGTAACTGCCCAGAGAAAGCCCAGGCACGCCTCCCCGCAGAGGCTGAGCAGACACGTCTCAAACACCAGCACCAAGACCCGCTCTGGGTTTCTCTGCACAATTCCCCAGCTTGTGCAACACTGGACCACTTACTTCTCCATCTGGTAATAGAGCATCCCTCGTTGGAAGTAGGACACTGCCAAGTGCTTGTCTCGGTTTATGCTTTTGGTGAAGGCCTGCGGAGGGAACAGTCAGGCAGTAAGTAGGTGTGAGATGAGCCAGTGGGTGAGTCAGGCAGGCAGGGTCCGGAAAACCGTTGATGTCTTGGAGATGACAAGAGGCTTAGGGGTCAGAGTACTTGGTGTTGTCACTTCCTAGCCGCCTGGCATGAGACAGGTTGCCCAATCTCCTTGAACTTTAGTTTTCTCCTCCATAAAATGGGGATATGCATATCTCCCTTCATGATTACTAACAGGGTTAATAAAAGTCATCACGTTTGAACATAACCTGATTAGAATATTATCTACAGCATTTATTTTATAAATTTATTATAGGGATATTACACAACTAAGATCATTATCGATCTGTGTGTTCCTATTGCCATTTTGTTCACTGTTCTGAAATCTCATACGATTAAAATAATAACAATAATAATGCATTTAAAATGCCAGGAGTGAGGACTCACGCATAAAACCAAAGAAAGGCAGTGAAAATGAGATGCCAGAGCAGAAGAAAGCAAAGTGAAGCCTAGAGCAGTGGGAGGAAGGAGGGACAGGGGAGTGGGCCGGCTGGGAGGTGAGCAGGGTGCCACAGCCTCGCCCAGGAGACCCGAGAGGGCGGAGTCTGCATCCCCTGCTGGCTGGGCTGCACTCAGGCCCTCCGCCTGGCATGCCGGCCGCTCCTCCTGACAGTGCACGCTTTGTTTCTAACAGCCTCTGAGATCTGCGGTTCGTTTGCTCAGTCCTTGGGCGGCAGCACCCCCAGAGGAGGCGGGGGCCGCTGTCTTCCCTCCAGTGAGATGTAGAGGGTCCTCCCGTGCTCCCATCTGCCCACTCTGCAGCCTGAGGCTGTGCGGGTATTCCACGAAGCTTTGCTCTCTCCCTCTTTGCCAGGGCGAGGATGGCTGTGGGGGCCCCCTTCAAGGTGCTGGGGAGTCAGTCATCTAGCCACACCACCTTGCAAAGACTTGCAGTGAAAGTAAAAATAAGGACTAACATTTACACAGTGGTGTGAAGTTACGCAGTACTTGAATAGTCTATGCCCCCTTTATGGGAAAAGAACCTAAAAAAGAGTGGGTATATATATATATATATATATACACATATATAACTGATTTACATCATTGTATACCTGAAACTAACACAACATTTTAAATCAACTATATTCCAATAAAAACTAACTTAAACAAATAGTTCATGCCTCACTTATCATCAAGATGCTTAACCTCTCCAGAAGCTGAAAGCCCGAAGTCTGTGACTTCCCAAGACCAAAAAGCCCAGAGAGAGGCAGAGCTGGGGTTTGATCCAAAAGTCATACCCTTTCCAGTTTACCGTGACCAATACGAAAAAGTGATTGTTGGGAATGCTCAACCCCATAGTAGGGAATATGAAAGAGAGAGAAAAACAGTGGAGAAATATGACATTCCACACCTGTCCTAAAATCACTGCAGATGGTGACTGCAGCCATGAAATTAAAAGACACTTGCTCCTTGGAAGAAAAGCTATGACAAACCTAGACATCATATTAAAAAGCAGAGACACTACTTTGCTGACAAAGGTTCGTATAGTCAAAGCTATGCTTTTTCCAGTAGTCATGTATGGATGTGAGAGTTGGACCATAAAGAAGGCTGAGCGCTGAAGAATCCATGCTTCCAAACTGTGGTGCTAGAAAAGTCTCCTAATAGTCCCTTGGACAGCAAGGATATCAAACCAGTCAATCCTAAAGGAAATCAACCCTGAAGATTCATTGGAAGGACTGATGCTAAAGCTGAAGCTCCAATACTTGGACCACCTGATTCGAAGAGCTGGTTCATTGGAAAAGACCTTGATGCTGGGAAAGATATAAGGCAGGAAAAGGGGATGACAGAGATGAGATGGTTGGATGGCATCACCGACTCAATGGACATGAGTTTAAGCAAGCTCCTGGAGATGGTGAAGGACAGGGAAGCTGGGTGTGCTGTAGTCCATGGGGTCTCAGAGTCAGACTGAACAACACCTGTCCTCAGTAGACATCATTAATCAATCACCGTCTGCATTCCTTCCACCAGCCGCAGACTCCTTTGTAGAGTGTCCCACAAAATGGATCAGAATTGTCCCTTGAGGAGAAACCTATTTTTCTTAAATGCCTTCTCTTGATCTCTTGGGCAAAGAGAGCTCACTCACAGGAAGGTCTTAGAAAGCCAAAAGAGGTTCTTGGAAATCAGACATGAAGCAGTAAGAGGGAGATTCTGTGGCTAGCAGTCAATAAAGGAAAACATAATTAAGGGGGGCTTTCTAAAGGTGTTAAGGAAAGTTTCCAGAATGATTTGAATGTAATCGATGCAGAATAAAGGAGAACAAAACCCTCAGCGAACAGTTTCCAGCGGGACTGCCTGTTAGAACCACCTGGGGAGGTTTTCAAAGCATGGCTGCCCAGGCTTCTCCGCGGGCCAATTGAATCAGAATTTCTGGGGGTGGGTGCCGCCGGGGCAGCCTTTGTTCTTCTGAAGCTCCTGAGAGGGTTCTAAAGTGCTGTCTGGGCTGAGAACCAGTTAATACAAAGGCCCCGGGGGAGGCGGGGGCAGAGGTACCTCCACTCACCTTCTCCGCCTCCAGCAGGTTCCCCAGAATCGTGTGTATGCAGCCCACGTTGAAGCAGATCCTGGAGTGGGGGTCCTGTACCCCGGTGAAGGCGTCCAGGGCTCCCTTCCAGTCCTTCTTGTCGGCTGCCAGCACCCCTTCATTCCAGAGGCTGATGGCCTCGGCCAGGGACATGGTCAGGTGCAAACCGGGAGGGCTGCCTGGAGACCCAGGAGAAGGCCAGCCCGTGTCTCCCCAGCCAGGCCACCCCCGCCCGCCTTCACTTTCCTGGCCTGGAGCTCAGACTGGGGCTCAGGCTCCTGAGGACAACTTCTCGGTGTTGCAAAGGTGGCAGGAAGTGTCCCCACGTTTTGGCAACTGACGCACAGAGCAGTCAGTTCTGTGAGAGAAAAGGAAAGAGAAGGAGCGAGAGGGCAAGCGGGGCGGAGTGTGGAGGAGAGAGGAAGTACATCAGATACTGCCCCCGAGGCCGCAGTTCCCCAAAATGCTTCTGCTCTGCCCCCCAGCTCCTCCCCTCCGGATCTCACCCCGCTCTGCGCTCTGCGGGGCAGCAGCTTTTGGCCAGGGCTCTGACCCCAGGTTCAAGGTGACTACTGGCTGCCTGTCCAGCGAGGGTCTTGGGTGACAGAAGAGTTCTATTCAGTCTAGAATGAATTCTTTGCTCACTTCCTCACACCCTCGTTGGAGTAGGAAATGGCAACCCACTCCAGTCTTCCTGCCTGAAAAATTCCATGGACAGAGGTGCCTGGTGGGCTGCAGTCCATGGGGTGGCGAGGGGTTGGACATGACTGAGCGACCAACACTTTTCACACCCTCACAGACAGTCTTGATGTATTTGGTTCTTTATCTCGGGGTAAAATTGGCAATCAGATTCCTGAGCAGGACGGTCTTGGGTGTCCATCTGGGTCTGAGGTACTTTTGTGAACACTCAGGAAGCTCAGTGGGGACCAATCTCCTGCAAATGGCAAAACTAGGAGCCAAATATGACAGCGAATGACTTCTCCTATCCTTCTGTGAAAAACTGAAGAGACAAGGGTTCTCATTGATGACCGATCTATTTACTAGTCCCCTAAAACACAGATTTACAACTCCTTCCCTGCTGCCCTGAGAAAGTAGAAAAATCAGTAAGATAATTGGGAGGAGAGGGTATAAAGAATTTGATTTATTAAAATCCTGAGCTTGTTAATCACACTCCAGAGTAAAGGTAAAATGCAATTCTGAGGGTCAAATGCTTAGATAGCAACAATTGCTCTGTCATTACTGAAAGCACCTGCCAGGTATCACCAAACTTCCCCTAAGAGCCCAAAAATAAAATTTAAAAATGTCCATTCTATAAGGCTTGTAGGGTTGAAGATGAGAGAATTGGGAAGGTGTGTGTGCACTTTTGTAGGAAGCATGCCCTGTGTTTGGAAGGTCTCCCTATCTCACTTTGTCTGGCCAACTCCTACTCATCCCTGAAGGCCCAGTGAAATATCACCACTTGCCTGAAATCTAGTTCCACATTCCAGATAGCAGAGACTCCCCCCTCCTTTGTACCACCTCTTCCCAAACAATTGTATTTGTTGCTATTTCTCTTTTCATTTGCCCAAGCTCTTAGACTCCTGAATAGCTGGGCCCATGCATTTTCAATTCTGGGATTCCCAGCTCCTAGACTGGGAACACACTCAATACATGATGAAGGCATATATTCCAAAAAGAAGTTAGAGATCCTTGACAAATGACCAGCCGATAGCAGTGATGGCAGGCAGGGAGAGATACTGCTATTCCACCTGGTGAAAAAGTACAACTCAATCAGCACATTGATTATTCCTAGGAAAACCAAGTGGTTTTGTAACTAGGCTAGACTTTAAGTTTTCTTTTCACACTATTATCTGAGTCTGCCACACAAAACTCTCTGGAAGCTGATGCCTATGAGTTTCCCAGTCTTATTTTCCCAGAATGTCCTTCACAGGCCCCTACAAACCCTACCACTTGCTCCTCTTTCCCCTGGGTCTTCATTTCCTGCCTCTCTGTGCTTCCCAGTGTCTGCTCCTTCAAACCCACCTTGCACAGACATGGATGCCCTGCTCAAATATCCACTTCCTCCAGAAGCTGTGCTGAATTCAGGCCCAGTCTTAAGCCCCTAAACCCGTGATCTCACCTTCTCCTGAACTCCCACGTGTCTCTCAGTCACTCTCACAGGAGTAAAGTGTGTGCATGTGTGTCCTAGCTCCTCAAACAGACTGCCCCATCCTTGATTCCCCCCAGAGACCCAGCAATGCCATGCACACTCGTTTCTGTCCAGTTTCCCCGTCCCCACCATGAGCCTGTGGATGAACTATTGTCTAACCTCTTGTCACGCATCCATCTATTCGCTACAGAGTAGCCAAACTAATTCTTTTTCACAGCATAAACACTTTATATCTTTATAATTTATTTCTTTTTAAAGGCATAAGGATGATTGCTTTACAGTGTTGTGTTGGCTTCTGCTGTACATCAACATGAGTCAGCCATAGGTATACACGTTTCCTCCCATTGAAATATGTACATTACCATGTGGGAAATAGACAGCTAATGGGAAGCGCTGTATAGTGCAGGGAGCTCAACCTGGTACTCTGCGACAATCTAGAGGGGTGGGGTGGGAGGTGGGAGGGAGGGTCAACAGACTAATCTTTTAAAAATAGAGGGTGGCCCACATCATGCCCCTACTTTAAAACCTTCAGTGCCTTAGTTATTACTCTTAGGATACAAACCAAACTCCTTCCCACGCTGCAGGAAGGATCCTCTCTACACACCGCGCCCCCTTCCCGCCAATCCCTGCCACACCATTTCCCATCCGTCCCTCCCTCACCCCTTCCCAGTGTTTCCATACAACGTCGTATTGTCAAATGGTTTCCTCTGCTTGGAATGCTCTTCCCGCAACCCTCTGCCCAGCTGGTTCGGTTCTGACTCGTCTTTCACTCCCTCAAGAAGGCCTTTCTTAATCCATGACCTTCCTGGGTTCACCCTTTCTCTCTCTCACAGCACACAGTTCTCTTGGGTCACGGTGTTTGTCATAATTTGTATTACAATAGTCATCGACACTATTAGTAGATGACCTTCTCAACCACCCTTCCTTCCCCATTTTTCCTTTGGTAGAACCCATTCTGTTCAAGTCTCCACTCTCTGGAGGCCAAGTGCCTCAGGAGAGATAAACTCCCAAAACTGCCCCGAGGAGTGGTGTTCTGACTGGTTCAGGCACAAGTGTGAGATAGAATTCTAGTTAATAAGACATTAGGAGAAAGGTGCTGAGGATTTCTGGGCAAGATTATTTCCCCTACTGATTAAAAAAAACACACATGGGAAGAAACAAGACACAGTCTTTATTTTTCTCCTAGACAGTATTATGAAGCTGCGCCTGGAACAGTGGCAGCTATCTTGTGACCATGAGGAAAACCAGCTAAGAATAAGCCATTGTTTTGAGGAAAAGAGAATGAAAAACTAAAAACCTGGATCCTTAATTATGTTGATGAGCTCCTAAGTTAACCCATCTTGGAACTGATTTTCTCAGAATTCCTTTGTTGGTGAGATAAGTCTGTTTATTGTTTAAGCTATCTGAATAGTGTCTTCTGTTTTTTATCATTTGAAACATTCTGACAAACATACCACTATATTTTTGATTTTTGGCACAGCACTTAATATAGTAGGTGTTTAGAAATCTCTTATTGAGTAAATTAAGACACTGGTTGAATCTCACAGTTTTAGCTCAGTGTTTGCAAAATTGTTTCAAAGTTCTGTATAAGCAAGATTTGTATTTGCTTTGCCCACAGATCATAAACTCCTGTTAGATGCACTCATTCAACGGGAAGCTAAGAATATTCCTAAGGCTTTCCTTTTTCTGGAGGGAGGGGCCCCTGAAATTAAACACATTGTTCTCGTTATTCCTTGGCAGTCAGCAATTACTTTCTTCTCCCTACCCACGCTGGTATTCTTGCCTAGAAAACCCCATGGACAGAGGAGCCTGCCAGGCTACAGACCATGGGGTTGCAACGAGTTGGACATGACTGAGCATGCATGTATGCCCCACTTTTGGAGCTTAGCATTTCATCATTCAACTTTTTCTAACTTTTTTGCGGCTTCACTCTCAAACTCCCCAAAGGGTGGAAACAGGTATCAGTTCTCCCTCATTCTTTCACGGTCTAGGCACATAGCAAGTGTTCTGTAGACCACTGATTGGTTAAACGAATCAAAATGAAGAAACTGGAACCCTACTTGAAAAAATACTTTTATGGAGTTTGTCATTATCACCCTTATTTGCATAGAGTGCAGTACATTTACAATAGTAGGGAGAGTGTGTACATCCTGTATCCTTAAATCTAATATCAGTAGATACTGACATTGGGTACGAGACAGGGACGCTTCAGGAGGTTGGTAGGGAGACCTCGTTTATTACATGTGAACTTGGCCTGAGTTTCACAGGGAGGACACAGAAAACTCAGTGTGGGTCTCCTTAGTCAGCAAGGCTGGTTGAAACCCTCAATGCTAAAAGGCTTCCTTCTCCAGGAAGACGTCATAAGTTAGTCCTATCTAGCCTACCAGGTTAGTAGGTTATTTCTGCATAAAAAGTCATCACAAACTTAGTGACTTACAATGATACACATTCACTCTCACGGGTTTCATCGAGCAGGTGTCTGGGCATGGCCCGGCTAGTCCTCTGCTCGGGTTCCGCCAGGCTGAGATCAAGGTGTGGGCCGGGTTGCATTCACCTGGAAGCTTGACTGGGGAAGAGTCCATCCCTAAGCTTCCTCCTATTGTCGGCAGAATTCACTTACCTTGTAGCCGTAGAATATATGAGGCTTGCTTCTTCAAGACCAGCAATGGAGAGAGCGTTTTCTCATCGCCAAGTCTCTGATTCTAGACCCCTTTTTAAAGGGCCTGCTTGACTAGGTTAGGCCCACCCAGGATAATCTCTTTTGGTTAAAGTTAGATGTTTAGGGTCTTTGATTACTTCTGCAAAGTCCCTTCACCTTTGCATAGTCTGTGGGTAAGAAGCAAGTCTCAGTCCCTGCCCACACACTGGGAGGGGATTACACAAGGGCATCTGAGGATTGGGGTCATTTTAGGATTCTGCCTACCACCACTATAGAGTTCCAGTCTTCTCCTTCCCTGACTCACCAGCTAGGTCATTATTCCTGCCCTGTGCTCTCATAGCGGCTTCTCCACCTCCCCAACCACGTGTTCAACCACACCTGATTGTAATTACTGTTTAAGTGGCTGTTGCCCAGCTGGGCTGTAAGCTCCAGGAGTAGAGGACCTACATCTGAGTTTTCCAGTGTGATCTTTTGTGCCTATCACATAATAGATTCTCAAATTTATGTGCTAAATATCAGTGCTGAGGAAGGTGTGTTTAAAGTCACTGTAATTTTTTAGTTTGGATGG